TTAATATTGACAATCCTCTTCGCTGCAAAGTCGCTCGCAGCATCGTGTATCGCGTGCACTTTCTTGCACTAGGTGACCCGTTGTTATGTCAGCAATGACGCACACACATAAAATACGATCTTATCTCCTCCGGTATTAGCGGCTGATATTGAACTTAAGATTACGGTCGCTATTTTCGTTTCGGCGCGTGCAATTTACGTCGTCTTACGCAAATGAGGACTCGCGCACGCACGCATGCATTTACCATACTAGGAATAGTATTACCCATTCCTTATTACGGTCATCTCAAAGTCATTTCAAAATAGACCTTTCTGCAACCGAATTTTTATGAAAGGATAAATTATACACGCAAGAAAAAAAGAAAATAAATGTCAAATCAAAACTTATATACTCGTATATACGCAACAATCTATATAATTTATTTATGAGAATTTCAACTTTTTATTTCAACTTTTTTTTGGTTAAGCTATATAAAATAACTTCATTCAAGCTAGTTTTCTTCGTTTAACGCAATATAATCTCATTTCGAGATTTTCACGTTAAGATTAAAGGTATTTTCAAATCAAGAATATTTTTTTTTTCCCGTGCATGGCGTTACAGCATAATTACACACGCTCGAATTATCGTCGAGTAACGTACTGCTCTAAAGCAAAGAGTCCTTTGTGGGAAAGAACGGTCAAAAGTTAGGTACCCTGTATACGTGTCCCGTTTTAAATACGAGAGATATAAAAAGATGCAGGCCGAGATGAACGAACATGTAAATGTGACTTTTGTGCGCGATTTCGTATATATATGTCGAGACGAGTCGTGCGAGTGAGATCCCGTGTAAAATACGTAGTTAATTTAACGGTGTATTTTGTAATTTAACTCGGTGTGCGTACCCTCGATTTCACCGTTCGTGACGAACGTCATCGGACATCTCGTATCGACGTGGACGTATCGTCTGCGTAAATGCGTTCGGAGTACGTCACGATGAAAACTACCGAAGTACGCGGAGCACAGATAGTACACGCCGAAAGCCCATTGACGGGAAAGCAGATAGAAATCGCGGAAACGCCGCATGACGTCCGCATAAAATTTCCAGGATAATTAAATCGTCGAATTGAAGAAAGAACTGAGTCAGTTTTTTGAGATAGTATATGAGTAATGTATAATTGAAGTGACTAATACGAATTTGTATATGTGCATTGATAAGAATTCTTAATAAGAAACTGCGCTAATAAGCAAGCGCGGGTTTTTACAAATTTTTTAGAAGCGAAGACATATCATTTCTTAATGATAATTCTGTTATTAGAAGATAAATGTAAATGTACCTATAAGAAAACAAATATATCTTCTTATACATTGCAAACAACTAGAAATATCGATGACAGCTGCTTTCACAAAATTATGCAGAATGAAGGCAATATCTCTTAGTTGTAATATTTGCATATACTCACAAGCAATTCCGTATCTCTTCGAAACTTTCTTATTTTTTAATCATTCGCGGTTTCTCGCGATAAAAGCAGAAATGTATATACGGGGCATGGGCTTCAGGTTGCGGGCAACTGTAAGGAACTTACCGCAGGTTAATTAATGCGTAACTGTACTTGTCAGAAACGATCGAGTTCTCTTAATCTCTAATCCGCTTTAATAAGCACGCCCGTCATGAGTAAACGACTTATTATTATGTAATAATCGCGACCGTGAACGCGCTCGCTTTCTATTCGCCGCACGTTTTTATGAGGGTAATTTCGACTGAATATATCGCACGCCGAGGTCGCGAGCCATTATATTTTTAATTTAACAGGCTCGCACTCTCCAACCTTTAGCTGCACTCGCGCACCGGCGCATGTCAGACTCTGTATTTTGATATATATTTCTCACATTCTCTCCTCATTTCTGCCTTCCTATATTTTCATATTAACACGTACATTTACTTTGATTTATGTACAATTACTTATTTTTACACTCGATTTTTTTCTCCAGAAACTATATTGAGCTATCAAGGACATCATCTCCTATCTGTAATACGATTATTACAGATAGAAACTGGAGTTCTCTGAGTAACTTACTTAAGTAACTTACCAAGAATATCGTCTCGATAAGAAATCATAATTATTAAGAAACTTCGAATTTTTCTTAATCAAAAGATTCTTTTATAATCGCTCGGAACGTAAAGCAGAAATAGAAACAAAAAAATATACGGTTGATAAAATTATACTTTTATTTTTAAAATGCCGATATATTAAAGTATATAAACATAAAAACGTGAAATGGTTGTCATACCGATGGTTACAGGAATCAGAATGAGAGGAAAGGGAAGTTTGATTTATAATTGTTCTTTGTATTGAAAGCAGATTTATCGTCATTATCACACATATCAACCTGGATTTATTTTCTATTTGCATTTTTTAAAGCTAAATCTTTCGATTTTAATTTATGTTCCAATTTGCAGAAAAAAAAACCCATTTAATAGTAAATGACATGATATAATCATATAACGTCTGCTTTATTGCCGAAAAGACTGCCTCCTTCCCTTCCTCTCTCTCTTCAGCTTTTGAATCCGCGCGTTAGATCACACCTTTAATCATACGATTTTAGAACTGTCCCATTTGCAAAATAACAAACGAAATTCACTCGCGCACATCGCGGGGCTATTTCCGCCGTGGGGAAACGTGCGACCGCCGTAAAGTTCGCGGCAGTAATTTCGTGAATCATCGCTTCGGACGACAGAGCCGAGGAGACACCGACGTCGTGCCGTGCCGACGGCATTATCGCATTACAAACACTCGGCAGGCCGATTACGATTTTCGCCGCACGTTGCCACCGCGTGGCCCGACGCCCGTGCCCGCGATTCGTTCGCGCGGCGAGTCGAGCACATCGCCACGGCACACGAACACCCCGTTCGTTGAATAAATAACCAGCCTCGAGTAGCGCGATCATGATGTTCAATTAGTGCGGCTTGTCGCGAAAAAAGCCTGAACGTGGCGAAACGGGCTTTTTTAAAGAGCGAACTGCTCGGGACGTGCCGGGAACGAAGCGCGAATAAACGAGCGGGGCGGTTCACCAAAATTTCCGTTCCTCGCTTCTGTCGCGTATCGAGATTAACGGCGGATCGACAAGACGCAAATAGCAATTTTCATTAAACGATACAATATTAGATTAATTGACGCGGCATTGACCTCAGAGCCCCCGTTTTTTTCACCGTGGAAGACTTAATTTCCTGTTTGCGGTAGTTAACGCATCCTTAAATTTCCAAGGTCCGTACCAAGAGCACGCATACGTTTAATATTCGCATAAGCGAATATTATCGCTCTTGACATGTCGGAATTATCCTTCGAACAGTACCTATATCAAAAAATAATTATATCGAAAGAGAAATAAAAATTTTGAATTTTCCTTGTAGCTAAAGATTTCGCTTCTTTCAAAGTGTAACATTATAATTTTACGCTCGTTTGGATTTTCGTAGTCCGAGAGAAGCACGTGCAGCACGAGTCTTCATATATAAACGCGATTTGGATTTTTTGCCTCGACGTAGGATCGTATTACGTTGCGTGAGGATATTTCACGTATTGCAACGGAAGTACTGATTCTTGAAGAGAAATAGAGAAAAATGCTATCACTCGTATAGCTGCAGCTCGATATGCGTGGCCCCCACTTCCTTTCTGTACGGTCCTGCTTGACGTCATCGAATGACGTCAATCCCGGACCCCACCAGACTCCTCGGCCACCTCTTTTGAAGCGCGCTTTATCGCGCCGACGTAAGAAGCATCGCCGCCGTCGCTGCCGCCGTCACCTCAGCCCTCGAAAATTCCTACGACACCCAATACGGTCGAACGAGTGATAAAGCGAGAGCGGGAGAGAGAGAGAGAGCGCAAACGAGAGAGAGAGAGAGAGAATGAGAGTGCCTCTCCTCGCGAAATCGCGAAAACGCTTTCGTACGCGCCCGCACGCGTCTCACTCCGCCGAGATTCGACGATTTTTTTGTGGCCGTTTTATCTAAATTTATCATAGCTTCGAAATTAAATCGGCTGACGCGGTCGGTTACACGCTAGATAAAAGCGATCGCGCGAATCGGCGAGACACAATTATGCATTGTCAATTCAGAAGAGATACAGGACGCGCCGGTTAATCTCTCGCGCGTCAATACTCTTCACGCTTTCATCTGTCTGAGATACTGAAATGTATATAAAAAAAGAACGTAATGTGTTGGTGATAAAAATAATATGCGGTGCTGGGGAGGCTGAGTAAAGCACCGCGTGCTTTAATTGATGAGGTACATCAAGCGCGCACCGTTGTCGCGCTAAGTAATTAACATCTCGCTCTAATGGCGAAATCCGCGGTCGAAGCCACCAACCTCTCTAGGCGAGTCGACGTTGCGATCTCGCATGGAAGAGGACGTAAAAATATAACGCATTCAAAATTTACCCGAAAAAAAATTCACATTTTTTTCTTTGACGATACAGGTAGACGCGCGCTCAACGCTCATCGATTATTTCTGAGATTGCTCGCTGAAATTGCGAGACCGTGGATTAATCAGAGCTTCGTTAATAATGCAAAATCCATCGCGAGACACGAATGTTCGTACTCGACACGTCGCTACAACGACACTCGCCGGGTATGATTTTAATTCGCCGGCCGCGTCAAGCTTAATCGCGTTACGTCGCGATGATTCTGGGCGGTGATTATGCAAATCCGCGGCGAATCGTTGTTTTAATCGGCCCAGCGACTTGTCACTAACGTGCCGTTAATCAACCACTCACGTTCGTAATTGTAATGAATTGTCAATAATATTATAACGTTGCATCGCGAGCAACATTGTTACCTGTTGATTTCGAATATATACGGCAACGAAACTTTCTTATCGTTATTGTCGATTAAAATATTTCGAGTTAGACTTTTAATCTTTTTTTTTTTTTTTTTTTTTTTAATCAATTCTCAATTTTACATCGAATTGAATATTATCGAACACAGTGACGGTTTTTAATCTTCAACAATCGCGTTTTGCTGATTTTCAGGAAAGAAAGGTCACCTCGCTGCCCACGAAGTCCATCTTTTTCATCCGATTTCATCTTAGGTAAACGTAATTATATGTCTGACGCACGAAAACCTCGGACCACGCGAAAAGTGCGTGCTTATCGTAGAAATATTTGCGAGGGAAAAAAAGGGTCCGCGAAGTTCTTTTTTTATCGCTTTTTACGCTTCTCGGAATTGCTACCACACGCGCGCCTTCTCTTGACGAATTATTACACATTAGTTAACTGATAAAGGGTATATATTCGAGGCTTTTTTATTTCTTCACGCTGTATCGATCTGTTAAGCACGCACGTGATACTAATCGTTATGTCAGCGAAAGAGGAAAGCCGCGCCACGTGATACGCGCAGCAACAAGGAATATTTGTTAAAAGGAGTTAATAATAGACGCGCGCGCGTACTTTTCGAAATGTTAGAAACAAATCGTGCTCAATTTATACAACGGTCGGTGCGAGCGTGCGATACGTTTTTTAATCTCGAATCTGTACGTATCCGTCGTGGCGTAATGAATTTAACCTCATACATTTTTCACGAAATTAAAGGTAATTGCTGCCACTGTTACGTAATTTAAAAAAATCACGCAACAATGCACACAAGCGTGTAGACTTATTAATCGATATTTTTTTCGATAACGCTTTAATATATACTATATCGCTTGTAATAATCACTGGGTAACGCGACTTAAATTATGCAATTTTTTTCATTTTTATTTCTGGACTGTAGACTGTATTGCATATTTATGTAGGAAGGCACGTCAAATGCAAAACCGAGAGAAACGACGTTGATGTTAAATAGTTATTCTCCATTTTTTGTGAAAAACAGATTAATTCTTCTGATTATCCGGAATACATATTTAGATATAGTCGAATATAATTAATAGTCTAGAAACTAGAATATAAATAACTGTTTACGCAAGTGCAAGATATGGGTAGCAGGGCCGTAGCCCGGAATTAATCTTATAGGAAACGAGATTTTCCGTTGCTAATATATATAATAAGGAAAACTATATATAAAATCATGCATTTACTTTTAAATTCCTCGCACAATTTCCAAGAATCGCCGATCGCTGTACAATTTCATAACTGCGCGTTTCAAATATCTTCCTAAGCAGGCGAATGGAATTCAAATACTTACAAGATTGACTACAATACTGGATCGAGAATATAAAGTTTCGTTATCTCTGGCTTCGGCATTTCTCTCGAGCTCTTTAAATTTTCCATCGTCCATAATTTGATAGCTATCGGTGGCCTATTTTTTAAGTTAAGTTAAGAAACAAATCAACTTCAATTTTCCCCAAGAATCCGTATAGAGAAGGAAGTTCAACTGGAAACTGGGGTATTCCGTACACGCGCATACACGTAACTTTACCCATTTGTTTCACCTCTTATTTACGCGCACCAACAATACAGCGCAAAATTACAGATCCCCCGGGAAACGAATGCATCTTCGTAACTTTCGCTTTCTTTCCCTTTATTCCCGCGAGAGAAGACGTGCGGAACGCGTCTATGTACTAAAAAAGACGAGAAACGTCAATTACTGGTACCGCCAAAGATATAACTCTCCTCTACCTTCCTCCCTTTTTCTCTACATCCATTTAGCGTTTAATTTAATGATTCTCACGTTACGTTCACGTGGAACACGTTCGTTGTGGTTGTGTCAAAATGATATCGTATGGGCGTCTCTGACGTGCGTCGCGAAAATTTTGGCTCGGGTATATATATCGGGGCACAGAAGACTGCAGAAGACGAAGATTCGCAAATGCGCAGAGTTCGCGTCTCGCGAATCATGTCGGAGGCGTGAATATTAGATGCGTTCGATACGGTATATAACGGGTCGTATCACGCTGCGATGTATGACATTACAGCGATATCACGTGAGGGCGCCTTCGTGAACAGATGCGATCTCGAGAACCTCCGACATGCACGACGTTCGATCCGCTCGCGAGCCTCTATTAAGGGGATTGTATGTATGTACGTACGAGAGCCGGGGTGACTGAGGCGAAACCTTTTTGTTCCTCTCCGGCACATTGTGCGAAAAGGTTTCCCAACCGTGCCTTGCTCGACGTTCACATGTAACACTGTAATGTAATCAGAAAGCGCACCAAAATGCATTTTTTTTTCATCGTAGCTTCTTTGATTATCGAAGCTGCAATTTGTGGTTGATATTGGTCGTAAGATTATTTTTATTTGTTTCCTTATTTCTCGATAACAGGATGGTAATAAAACGTTGGTAATAAAATTACGTCGTTAAAAATAATAATATCTCCTGCGTTATCAATGTAATTACACTGTTCTAATTAAATTAAAAGAAATCGTAATTAAATGAAATTATTACACTTGTTAAAAATTCTTGTAAATAACTATTACTACAAGTATTACAAATAACTGATGATTCAAGATTCAAGATATGGATTATTCAAAGTATTAATGATACGTTATTTCAGGGGAACGCTCTTCAATTATATATACTCTTATTTAACGTTCTCAAGGCTGCGTTTATGCAGGTGATCGCAAAAAAAAAAGTCGGAAGAATCCGACACGCGTTCTCTTATCCGAACAGCAGATCGTGAACAGCAGATCGTGACGTGACGATTTATTTTTAATCCGTTCGCATGTAAGACACGCGTGCAATACGCCACAGTTGCACAAGCAGATCGTCATGTGCATGCTAGAGTGACGTTTTTGCATCACTAACATTCCCGTGGAGTAGTGCCAGTTGAAATGAGACAAAGCGAAGAGTAATGACAACTCGAGAAACGATTGTTTTCATCTAGGAATAGACTGAAATGTGGAAAGAGAAATGGACTCGCTAACGCGGAAGACACAGTTTCGCGAAAGATAGTGAAAATAAAAATAATTATATCCAATTATGATTAATTATCTCTTGTAAGGGAGCCAAAATATTTTAATCAAAAACCGTACTAAATTACAACCGTTTGAAGTAACGTAATAAATGTTCTTATTTATCGCAATGATATACGACTCACAAGTTTTTAGTGTACGTATTGCATTTACTTAAGTTTGCTTACATGAGTCTTAAGTTCTAGCGATCGAGATTCGAGTTATCTATGCAAATACTTTGAAAGCGCTGACAGTCGATTTCTCATGTATTATAATTATATGATTCATCATATCGTTCGGTTTCATGATTTCCCTTTGTGTCCATGCATCAAATGAAGTATCGGGAACAAGCACAATTATGACACATAAAGACAATTTAAAAAAAAAATCGCAGAATTAACGTGCGTAATTTTGTTAGAAGACGGTGGTATTTCTATAAATATTTCCGACTCTTTGTTTCTTTTTTCAGCCGTCACGTTGGTTAAATGACATCGCGCGCGTCAGTAAGTCACGTGGTCAGTAGAAAGTTAAATTATGATTCAGTTTTACAATATTTTGATCACGTCGATTTTTTTATACTGAATACGTCAGAATAAATAAAATTATAAATTTTTCATTTAATATTATTCAACTTAAAATTAATATTTAACTGCTTCTTTTTTGAAGAAAACATGTTTATTCAAAATTAACTTGTCTGTTAGGACTGTTAGTATATATAATGTGGATGTAATAAATATTCAATTAAATATTTAATTAAATACTTTATAAAATTCATATTCTTTAAAAATGTATACTCGCCAAGTACTATCTAATAAATAGATATTCACATTATTAAATCGTAAAATTTTTTAAGACTCGAGGGAGATAAAGATGACAAAAATTTCATAATAATGTTTCGTTACAATCAAATGTCGGTGAAAAGTTTTGATCAACAATGTTATCTCGCCCTCAGAAAAATCCATTAAAATCAGCGTTTAATATATCGTCACGAAGAGCAAAACTAACAAGGAAATATCGCGCTAATTCGCCGTGTTTTCTTAAAGTTGTTTACCGAGTCTTCAGTGAAATGCAGATTGCAGCGATGTTTGGTATACGCTCTTAGTTTCTCGCAAAATTCCCCGCGTTGAAAGCGTTACAGCAAATACGAACGTTTTTGCCCGCGACTTTTGTCTCGAATCCACCGTTTTCTAAATTAAAGTAAATTCTCCTCACGCAGCTCTGGGAAATCTCGCGAGCCGCCGGCTCGCATCTTAATTTCGCGTATACGAGCTCGTCGTTAGTGCATCGTGCATGTCACGATGCCCCGTCCGTCGGTCGGTGAGCTGTAACGATTTTCTCACACGGTGAGAAGCGAGCGTTACGTCGCGTTAGGCTGACCAGAGGGTGGCATTTCCAATTACGAACAACGCTTTTAATTACTTAAGCTCTTACAAAAGACCTTTCGCTCGAATCGCCGTGCTCGCTCTATCGACCGAGAGCCTGGCGGAGTGAAATTTACGGCGAGATCACCGTAAACATATACACCCTCGCATCCAGAACGTGCGTAGAATTTATTGCTAGCGGAGCATGTGAAACTCGGAACGAATGCGAGTTCAACAATCGTTTTTGTTTAACAAGTGGACGAAATGCGCGATGATTCGAACACTGCTAGTGACATCTCGCAGAGTTAAATCCTACGCTTTATACAGCAAGTGTTTGCTGTAACAAATGTAATAGAAATAAATGTTTGCTAAATTTAAATTAATGTCAATGATGATTATATTATTAATATTATTATAATGCCACAGAGAGTATTTGACATACCTAATTTTAATTCGTGATAAAATTTTAACTGGACTTATATGTTATAATAAAATATCATTTGACACAACAAATTGTATTTCATTATTTTTTATACAAATTATGCAGAAGTTTACTCTTGCTCCTTTTTTCGTCACATTATTAAATCAAGTTGTAGGAAAAAAGAGATTATAAAATAATTGCAAATTATCATCAGAGAAGAATACTAATTCCCCGCTATCGGTAAATAATAACAGCAGACGGTAGCAACTGCCATAGTCTGTTACATTTTATAAGTTCCATTACATATCTTTTTTCGAGCTAAATTTATCCACTATAAAAAATTCATATTCCAGACAAATCAAAAGTGTAAATTATATTATACTATTTTTTCGAAATCATAAAGCTACCTTTTTTTCCATTAGGAAATATCGTAATCAAAATTAAAAAAAAAATTTAAATCAGCATGAATAGTAATTAAATCTCGCAAAAATGTAATTAAAAAAAGCTTTATAATACCTATATCAAGCCGTATAGATGTATACGCATATGTATTTGTGATTATGTTAAAATATAACGTTTACAAGTTACAAGTTTCCCTTTATATGTCACTCTTGTATCTTACAT